TCCGCTTTCCTCGCCAATTTTTCCTCGCGCAGGACTCGCCTGGGGGAGGGGGGTCGGATAGAGAGAACTACCGGGTAGTTCTAGTCCACTCTCTAGAAATGTATCATTCGATTTCAAACATAAGCGTTTTGTTGTTACGCTGACAACCGCGCGCTTTCTAGAAAACAAGACCGTAGTGGTTTCGACCGTACGATTCGCTCCATGATAATTCTCCGTTTACGACACATGTGACAGTTGGACAAACGAAGAGAGAGAGAGAGAGAGGGAGAACTCTTGTGAAATATAACCCCTTTTCATAGAATCCCACGTCAGATTCTATCCTTGCTCACTAACTTGTCATCTAACTGAGCGATAAAGGTAGAATAAAATTACGATTGTTACTAAATCGAATTAGCGTTGCCGTGCAAATGTAGTCATGGTTGCGGCAGAAACATAGTAAAAACGAAAGGCGCGCATCCGCATCCCGCGGATAGTCGATCGACGAGCGTCCTTTTAGGAACGTCGAAGAAATTCGCCCTAAACGGCGAAGCGTCCTACGTGAGTATCCGCTTAACGGCGTTCGCACACGCTCGTCGTGATAATTCATTAGCCGCCGTCACGAGCGCAAACGTGTTTTTAGCCGCGCTGCACACGCCTGCAGCGCGTTTCGCTCGTTCCGTAAATATATTTTTTGTTCTGGCACGCGTGCCGGCAGTCCACGTAAGCACAGAAGATAACCAGAGCGAGCGGCAGCTGCCGTACACCGTGTGTGCAGGTGAGACGGCCAGATGCCACCTTCTTCCGAGTATCTTTCGACGTAGTCGGTCTCTACGGGCGTGTTCAAAATTTTCGACGGCACTTTCACGGGGGAAAGCGACACGTTCAGTAAATACGCGTGCGTGCGTTCGTAAGAACGCAATATTCGCCCTCTCCTCCCTCTTTCTCCTTCTTCCTCCTTCCCCTCACTCTCTCTCTCTCTCTCTCTCGCTCTCTCTATCCTTCTCGCTGTCTCTGTATCTCCGTCCCTCCGATGGTCTCCCACGCGCTTCCGTCGAGACTGAAATTCGCGGCGGTGGTTTGTTTTTCCTTCGTCTTTTTTTTTTCGGAACTTTTACGTAACCGCTCGCGACGAGAGCCGTCGCGATAAATTAACGATATTTACCGTGGATCGTAATTATTATCTGGTCGCCGGTACATCTGGGAATCCGCGAGAGCGGTTTGCTCGATAAAAGCCGAACACGCTTTTACTGGGTCAGTAGATGTGTCCGCCACGGCCGCGGGTCTATTCCGACGACGACAGTAACCTATATTCGTCGGGTGGCTTTTGCAGCGCGTCGAGACGGACCGCTAAAGATAGCGGCGCGCATCTAAATTTTCATTTCGCTGGACTCAATCCCGTTCCCCCCGCCGCCCTCTACCCTCTCCGGCGGTACGTGTCGTTCTTATTGAGGTGTATTTATTGTCGTGCACTTTCGGGTCTAGGTTCTCGAGACTGCGGCAAGACTTGCGACATACGGTAATAGAGAGAGAGAGGGAGAGAGGAGGTTGGAAGAGAAGAAGCGAAAAAGAGAGAGAGAGAGAGAGAGAGAGTGGAATTAGAAATGGAAATACACCAACGGTTGGTCGACACATATTTCCAGTGTGGAGCCTACATACGAATACGTTTATTAATAGCACCCCGAATAAATACCGCCCCAAGGATGCGCGCGCGCGGAGTATTGCGAACGTCCGCGTTTTCGCGACGATCTATGCACAAAGTCCGCGTGAAAGCGCGCCAGAAGCGTTAAAGGAAGCTGTTAAATAATTCGCATATGGAGCGCGTTCTCGGACGAACGCGGGCTTTTAAGGACGAGCGATCTCGGAAATACGAGACCGGGTTCTCCTTGCGAATTACCAGCGCGCAATGCTCGAGGAGGATTCAGAAGGCGGCTTGGGAGAGATCTTTTTTTCTTTCCGACAATATTCGTTATCTTTTTATCGGGGGGGGATCGTCACAATCGCGCTCTCGGATTATGACGATGTTCGTTGAGAGACGCGCTCTTTCATAACCCCGGAAATGCCGAGGAAGAGACGCTCTCCCGACTTTTCCCGGCGAGATGCTCCACGTAAGAAACTGGCATGCTCCTCTTCGACAAATTGGCTCGCCGCTTCGGGTCATGGAATCAATAAAGAGCGCGTGGACGCGCGCATCCTGTAGGGTAGAATCAAAACCGGGCTTAGCCCTAAACAGCACAGGCGTGTTCCCTCCCCACTTCGGCCCTTTGTGTACGACCGACGACGGTATCGAGGCACGCGATCGACGATGCATACGCATGCAAATTGTACGCGGACTATCCGATACAAAGCAGCACCAGGCCGATGTGCGTACACGTGTGTGTACACATGAGAATTCGGAGGTTAAAGAGATCCCGCGACACATTTTACCACCCTCGCCCCACGTTTATTTACGTACACATCGTCATTTCGCAACTAATTGATTTGTGAGTCTCATGCATACGGGGTGTTATTAACGGAGTTAAATTCGTGCAAATTCGCGTAACACCGCGCCGGTTGCAAAATATTCCTCGCGTCTCTCTCTCTCTCTCTCCCTCTCTTTCTCTCTCAGACTATCTATCTTATCTCGTTTCACGTAATATTTCCATCTCCGCCCGCTTTCGAGTGACAGTTAGGTAGGTTGTCCGTTCAGCCGAGGTATTGATATATCTGATTCGGCCAACATTTTCGGTCCGAGAGTAACATTGCGGTGTGATTAATCGCCCACTTACAGCCGTCGTCCGGCGGTTATATAGGCTCTTCTCCCTCGCGGCATAGATATAACTTAAGCCACGAATATACCTGCCTGCCTTTACCCAACGTGGCGTTCACAACGCGGCGCTACACACGAAAATGCCGCGTGTGTTCGAGCGGCCTGACCCGGTCGCACCTTTTTGACTCGCGAGCAACCGGTTCGCGTTTCGTCCTCCTCCTCGCCTGTCCCTTCCCATCCTCCGGCTCTCTCTCTTTCTCTCTTCCTCCCTTCCCTTCATTTCCCTCCCTCCTCCACCCTCACTCGTGCGTTTCCTCGCTCTAGTCTCTCCTCTCTTTCTCTCTCTCTCTCTCTCTGTTTCTCCAACGCCAGGCTTTCCCACTCGACCGTTTTAAAACCGCGCGCCGCCTCTGTCTACAGTTGGGCACTAATCGGCAAAGGATTATCACAGGTCAACGGGTGTTCAACCTTCCGTACACCTATCTACCTACCACGGTTCGATACCGCGATACTCGTTCGATCATTATTAATAGCTTACTTCGTTGTCGTCGACGAGCACGAGAACGACGATGCTGCCGACAGTCGGCCGAAGCCTTCGATGTATGTTTAAATCGACGCCGAGCGTCACGACGGCTATCACGGCCGTCGCTTCATATGCGACGCGAGCGTCGGTCTTTCGGTCGTCGAGCTTTCGAACCGGTTTCCGTCGACGTGACTGACAAGCAACAAGTCCCGTCTGTTATCCTGCGGATCGCGCGGTATCGCCGTGCCGCGTCGACGACACTTGCACAGCTCGCCCACAAAACAGACCGATGTATTATCTGACATCGTGTTTTTGTCTTTTTTTTAACGCGGCTTCGCGCGTCATCAAAGGGAAGGCTCGCTCAGAGGCGACAGAGCCCGTGGAAAATTTCGGGGTTTCCTTTCCTCAGCGCGAATGAACATCGTCGCGAAGCGTGACAAGTGTGAAAGCGGAAACGTAAAACACGCAAGCGGGCCGCGCTTTGAATAAGTTCGCTCGCGGATTGTGAATCCGAGTCGATTTCATCCGCATAACGGCCGGTCTGTTTTATCTCCGAGGCGCACGCGAGCGAAATTTTTGAAGCGGCAACATGCGTCAGCTCGGGAAAATATTGCACGCAGCTTTAATGCTCATTTCATTTCGCTCGCGTATTGCCGACTCGACCTCTTTCAATTCGATAATCCCGCGATAAGAAATACCATTATGATACTCGCGGTCTGTTTTCTCGATCTGCACGGCTCAATCTCGCTCGACGTGTCACCGGACAGCAAGGGAGACACTTTCCAGTAAAAATTGAAAAGACGAGAGAAAGAGAGAGAAAGGAAGAGGGGGGGGGGGGGCGNGAGCGGACGCGGGTCATGGGAGAAACGCGAAACAGTTACGAATGACTACCACCACGGCTGAAATGTGGAAGGTGCACCGCGAATTCGGTCGGTTGCACGGAGGTTTACAGGCGTATGCATGGAATATAAGTGATTCATCAATGAAATATTCAACACGGGCCACCGTGCGTTACCCGGACGGAATTTATGCCGTTCCGTCGGTTATCGGACATCTTTATGTTGCATGCCCTTTAGCGAATTGCCCTTTCTCGTGCACCGTCGAACACCGTCGGCGGTGTGCGTCCGAGCGAAATCGTGAATTAGTGAATTGCGAATTCGCGAGCACGGGACTATAAAAGGGACTATAAAGGGACGACAACGTCACAACGGACAAGTAAATACAATGCAACGCGAAATGGTGAGAAAGGCTCCGCTGAAACGCGAGAGAGAGAGAGAGAGAGAGTTCTTTCTTATCGCGTAACAACGTGTCGGGTGCGTTAGATTGCTCGTGATAATCCTCGTGGTTACGTCTGTCGCGTATGTGTTCGCCGACGCGTTTTCTGAACGCGATAACTCGCGAGCGAGCGAGCACGACGATGTTATCCGACAGAGATAAAAGCGCGACCGCGCGCGGTTTGCACGAGCGTGACCTCAGCACTTCCAAATTTCAAAAGCAACCTTGACGGCGGTGCGATGTAAGTTTTTCGGTCCGCTGACTCAGAAAGGTGCCGTCCTCGGTATCGGGGAACGTGACACAATCGTCTTCCCGGAGCTGGACAGGGCCGGCTCCAAGTACCTGCGGCGCCCTGACTTTGCAAAACAGTCCCACTTGGACGGGGGGGAGGGAGAGAGAGAGAGAGAGAGAGAAAGAATATACAAATAGTATCAAAGATTGCTTCGCGAAGACGTTCCTTAACTCGACGATCTTTACCTTCGTAGGGCACTTTTTTGAGAACATTTGACTCTTGTAAAACACGCCATCCTGTTCGTGAAACATGTTACGTCAATGGGGTCTTCGATGGTCGTGGAACGTATGTGTGTCATCGGTATTTTTCGCGCGGTTTTCCGCACGGTATTGCCATCTTATGTTTCTCCAACTCTTCAAAGCTACTACAAAAGCCTCGGTTGCTACGTATATCCTGTAGAAATAAATTTTAGAAAGTATGCGCACCTCTGATCACCACGAGGAAGATTTGTATATCGCACGCCTATAAAGTTAGCGATCCCGTATCACCGAAACACGTCAATTTTGAAGCGGTATTCTCGTATTGCGCGTTCAAATATAACGATATATTACTGTAGAAGGGTTAGATCAGTCGGACACACCGCAGTTTTGAAACATATTACGTCGAACGCCGATAATTGGCCGAGACTGTTATATCCTTTACATCTTCTACACTAACCAGCGTATCCGTGTCACTTCATTATTTGACAATTCTTTATCATTATTATTACTTCATTTGATTTTACTGTATTCATTTTCCTCAAGGGAAAACATGGAAGCAAAGTATCGGAAACAGTTGTAGAGCTGATGCTGCGCCTTTTGGCGATACAACTAGCATACTTGTACTTCGGGCAACTCTCGACCGCAAGTTGTCAGTCATGACGCATGTCCCGATAACCGAAATCTTATTTTACCACGTATCGCAGCAGACGGTATGAAAGGTGCAAGCAGCTATTCGGCAAGAATCCGTCGAAATTAGCGCCGTCCGAGCCTTCGATCGACGTTGGGACGCTCCGAGAAACGGTCGCGCTCGGTGCTGCTCGACCGCGGCTTAGTTCCGGACGCGTGGTGCGGCGGCGGCACCTGTCGGCCGGGCTCGCGTTTCGCGCGACGCTACATCTCTCGGCGGCGCGAGGAAGCAACAGCTGACCCGCGGCGCACAGTAGTTCTCTCTCGCCTTCTGGTGCGGCACCTCGTCACTTTCGCACTCGCGCGAAAGCCCCGAACGAACGAGCGAGCGAGCGGAGGAGGAGTCGCGTCGCCATCTTTAGGCACGGTTGTACCCATCGGCCGTCGTCTCCGACGTCATCGCCGTCGTTCGTCGCCGACGACGCGTCGAGAGCCTCCGCCGATTACCGTGCACCTGGGAGAGAGCGTGCCGCGGTGTGCCAACCGCGACGCGACGTCGAAACGACATCGCGAGGGCGAACGATACGTCCACTTGTGCGCGATCGGCGCCGGGCCGCGAGAAACGAGGTGCGCGTCGCGGATATAACTTCCTCGCCCGACGAAACGTCCTTCTCTGTCTCTCTCTTTCTCACACTCACTCTCACTCACTCATCTCTCTGTCAAGTGTCCCGCTGCCCCTCGCTCATTCCGCGAGCATCACGAGGGCAACCGCGGAGACGAGGAGTGACGGGAACGAACGAGCAGTCGTCGTGTCGTTTGACTGATCGTCGTCGGAGCCGCGGCTCGACTCCGAGAGAGAGACAGAGGGACATACCGTGGTAGTGGTGTTGTTGTGCATTCTCCCTCCCGTTTACCTCGGGGACACCTCACTCGTGCCAAGTTCTGGACGAGAGAGATTCCGCGCTGTGAGACCGCTCATTCCGAGGACGGGACAGGAGAGAGTGCGGGACGCGCGAGGGAGGACGAGCAGGGGAGAACGGGTGGAGGCGCATTACGAGAGGAAGATCGGGGAGAAACGGCTGCCGCGGACGACAACGACGACGGGCTGGTACAATTGACAGGGAAGATGGCGCGAGCCGCGGACGAGGATCGTTGCTGACCCATTTTTTGCCAAATCTCCGGGAGTCGAAGGACGAGCAGGAGCGTGTCGTCCCCGGTGTCGCTCAGACCGCGGCCGAGCGAGCGTGACAGGGAGGGGTGCACAGCAGCGGGGAAGAAAGCCGTAGGAGAGAGCGGACTCCGGGTTGCGCCGGGAGGGTGCCCTCTCGCGCGCGCGCGCGCCTCTCCTCCTGCGTGTGCATAGATGTGTGTGTGTGTGGCCCGTTTTTCTACCGTGTGACTCGTGCGAGTGTGCGTCGTGCTCGTCGTCGTCGACGACGATCCTCTCTTCACACGTTTCCGTGAACGATATATCTCGATAACTACCTCGCACGGTCGCGAGAGAAAGAGTGTACTCTTGGCTCGGAGATCTCGTCGAGGTACGGTGCTGGTAGATAGTAAGGTGGATAGTAACGACTCTGTTATCCGGTGACGTCGGGGAGGCAGCCGCGTATACGCTCCGAAGCGGTGGCAAAAATTCGGAGACGAGCGGAGTTCGGCGGAGCCGTGGCAGGCTCGGCGGCGGCTGTGGACGGACACCGACGAAGACGCAGCAGTCTTCTGGATTACTTCGAGCCCCGTAGAGCCCTGGCCGGCTCTGGTGCCAGCGCGGCAGCTAAGATGGGCAACAATGCCGCGACCGCTAACAAGAAGGTTGACGCCGCCGAGAGCGTCAAGGAGTTCCTCGACAAGGCGAAGAAGGAGTTCGAGGACAAGTGGAAGAAGAACCCGACCAACACCGCCGGACTGGACGACTTCGAGCGCATCAAGACCCTCGGCACCGGCTCGTTCGGCCGTGTCATGATCGTCCAGCACAAACCCACCAAGGAGTACTACGCCATGAAGATACTCGACAAGCAGAAGGTGGTGAAGCTGAAGCAGGTCGAGCACACGCTCAACGAGAAGAGGATACTGCAGGCGATCAGTTTCCCGTTCCTGGTGTCGTTGCGCTTCCACTTCAAAGACAACTCTTACCTGTACATGGTGTTGGAGTACGTTCCCGGCGGCGAGATGTTCAGCCACCTGCGCAAGGTCGGCCGCTTCTCGGAGCCGCACTCGCGCTTCTACGCGGCGCAGATCGTTCTCGCCTTCGAGTATCTGCACTACCTCGACCTGATCTACCGGGACCTCAAGCCGGAGAACCTGCTGATAGACTCGCAGGGTTACCTCAAGGTCACCGACTTTGGCTTCGCCAAGAGGGTGCAGGGTAGAACGTGGACCCTGTGCGGTACGCCCGAGTACCTCGCGCCGGAGATCATCCTCAGCAAGGGCTACAACAAGGCGGTCGACTGGTGGGCCTTGGGCGTGCTCGTCTACGAGATGGCCGCCGGTTACCCGCCCTTCTTCGCCGACCAACCGATCCAGATCTACGAGAAGATCGTCAGCGGGAAGCCACGCTTCCCCTCGCACTTCGGCTCCGACCTGAAGGATCTGCTACGCAACCTGCTGCAGGTGGACCTCACCAAGAGGTATGGCAACCTCAAAGCGGGCGTCAACGACATCAAGGGCCACAAGTGGTTCGCCAGCACCGATTGGATAGCCGTCTTCCAGAAAAAAATAGAAGCGCCGTTCATACCGCGCTGCAAGGGACCAGGCGACACCAGCAATTTCGACGACTACGAGGAGGAGACTCTGAGGATCTCGCTGACGGAGAAGTGCGCCAAGGAGTTCGCCGAGTTTTGAACGCGACATCGGCGACAGCTCGCATCAGGAGGTGGATACATGTGTCGTCGTCGTCGTCGTCGTTGCCATCGTGGTCGTCGCGCGGCGACGCTCCTTCGTCATCACCGTCGTCACGTTGGTGGTTCGCTTCTTTCGAGAGAGTAAGAGAGCGCGAGAGAGAGAAAGAGAGAGAGATAGGGGCATGCGTGTGAATGTGTGTGTATTCGCGCGCGCGCTCGTGTTACGCTGAAAGCTCTCCGTCGAGAACCGCGAAGCTTTCGCAGGCGAGTTTTCGAAAGGGGCCGAGTCTCGCTCGCGAGCGAGATTTCTAGCGAAGGTTTTCTGTTATCCGAGTGATAGAGACAGTCGCGGGGTGTCGGTTCGGAAGGATATTCGAATGGCACGTGGGCAATTCGCGCGCGCTCCGTCGCGCGCGTCGTCTCGCGGAATGAACTTCACCGCACACGCGTGTACGTGCGCGACTCAGGAGGTGAATTCAATTTGACGCGGATGACGGGAACGTTTACATACGCCGCGGCGTTGAACCTCCGAGAATCACCGGAGTCGTCGTAATTTTCGGTCTTGCCGGTCGCGTATGTAGACGTCAACACGCCAGCATCACACTTTTTACATGGAGAAATCTCTTTTTTTAGCCGGTTAAATCGATTCGTTAACGTAATAAGAAACGGCTGTATACTATATATATATATATATATACATATATACATATATCTGTGTGTGTCTCTCTGCCACCCCCGTCTTTAATCCCCCCCTCACCCAAGATAGCTTTATTATCCGTCGGCGGAGGAGGCGGTATGTAAAGTTTGTTCTCAATGATTAACTGTTATCAGCGTCGGAAATGTCACCGTACTTTGTACATATAGAGTCTCTCTCTCTCTCTCTCTCGCTTGCTGTCTTTGCGTACGACGTCCTCCCTCCTCCGCTCTCTGCACGCGCGCCGTGCTCCCTTGCGTCTCGCCACTAGCTCTCCTCCCCCGTAGCCCTCTACCCCCGCTCACCTTTGTTTTCTCGCGGCACACACACACACACACACACGCGCGCGCGCGACACTCGGGATCGAGAGGGAGATACCACAACACCGAAGAGAGTCATATCGTGCATCGTTGTCTACTATTTGTCTCTATCCTCTTTATTCGTCGAGAGAAAATGGGAGAGAATGGACGAGAATGAGAAGAAAGTATATATGAAATTGCGTGAGAGATCATGAGAGAGAGAGAGAGAGAGAGTACGATTCGAGTATTCGCCGCGTGTACGATCCGTATTTATAGCTAGTCGACATATACACGGACACGCGTATATACACAGACACACACATACACGCATGCATATACGATAATCTAAAGTAATATTTATATATGAGAGAAACACACGTTATTTCCATCGATCGCCGATGGCGGACCAATTGGAGGAGACGCGAGCTTCTCGGTGTTCGCGGTGAAATTGCGCGCGTCTCACGTGAGAAACATTCCTCTACACATGCACGGGCAGGCCGGATGTGTTCTCTCGTCATCGGCGAGACGTTGCGTCTCGCATGCGATCGCTATCGGTCGCCACTCGGAAAACGGTTCTTAAACAACCCCCCGCTCGTTGCACCGTCTCGTTACATCGGATGATCGCGAGCATCCTCTGCCAACGACGCGAAATAAAAAACACTAAAGAGACTTGAACGCGTACGCGACGTTTCTCCGAGTAAGACGAACGCAAACACACGTGAGATACCTTGAATCGTACGTGAAAAGAAAGGAGAGACGTTCCGACATCTTCGGGCCGGCAATTAGCAATTAGCACTGCGCAATCGCCGTAAAGATATCTTCTGTACGTCGTAATTCCGATATTAGAAGAAACGCGTTATCGAGAAGCGACGATTGTGCGAATTTAGGTCGCCGAACGGTCCCCTCGTAAACAGGACACACGAGTGTACGCGCGCGCGCGCGCAAATAATAGAGCGTCGTAATGGTCGGGTGTCGTCGCGATTGAAATGTCTTCGTGCTATCATCACCGGCCGATAATCGTCGGCGTAGAGCGAAAGGAAAACAAACGTGACCTTGACAGAAGCGATCTCGGTAACTGGAGAACGTATCAGCGGACGGAAGAACGCGCAGATACGACACGTACAGTTGCACACGATAACGAGCATCGGGAGCGAAAACGCCGGTCGATAAGTTGATCGTAAAAATCGATCGATGGCGCATCTCGAAACTCATAGTTAGAATAACAAAAGTGAGCTCTCGTTCGGGCGACTTTCGCCATGATGAAAATACGATACATCTCGTCACGTGGAGTCGTTCGACGAGTAATTCCGCGTCGAATGGCGCATCAAATGGCGTCGCGGGTCTATCGTATTCCCACTCTGCCGGTGTGTACAGTCAATAGCGTGTATTTCTTCGCACGAGAAGTGCACGGGAAAAAATTGCTTGAGATTCGAGCGAATAATTAATTACTTCGATTCTCCTTGACGAATGTTTTTTGTACCTGTCTTAAGTAAACTTTGCTTGGATCGGATAAATATTACTCGATCCAAGTGAAAATTTGCCAAGGAGCTATCGGTGTAATTATTAATATGAATCTAGCGCTTTTTTTCTCTCTGTGTGAGAAAAGTCGGACGAAGATGCACGCCGGAGATACGCGTGAAGATCGCTCAGTCGGAAGAGTGGGAGGGGGGGAGATCGAACGGCGGGGCCGCGATTACAAGATCGGAGATTGCATTAGCGGCGCGCGAGAGCGATCGTCATCCCCCGGGAGGACCGACGGTTCTCGAGACGCGTAACACTTTCGCGCGTTGACGTCAACGGTAGGAACGAAGTTCCGTCAATGAGTAAAACGGTCGTTGAGAATTGGATTGGGCACACACGCCACGGCCAACGTAGTCGGGATCGATTCAGCGATGGGCTAACACGTACACGCACACACATGTACGCGCGGACGGGGCGGACAATGCGGAGGAAATGCGGCACATAAGTACGATGTTACGAAACTTTTAGTATTCTTTCAGCATTCGCGATGAGTCGAAACTCCACGGCATCGGCGGCCGTCTATGTCGATGCAAGTTTTCCACGAGTTTCCCACGAAACTGGTTTCAACGGAAGAACGGACGGACGGACTGATTCCTCTTTACCCGAACTTTTGCACTTACATCGCGCGGACTGAGTCGCGCCGACGCGCATCGTCGAATTATGTAAAATCACGTGCAACTCCGAGGGAGAGATTCGACGGTGACGGCTGCCGATGAACATCGACGTCTTCTCGTGTATCGAACGAAAACGACGACGACAGTCTCGTCATCGGGAAATCATTAATCTCGTCGTCGTGGTCGCGAACCGGTCGAGGAGACTCGACGACGTCGCGAGTCTCCGTGATTTTCAGTTAATAACGGGCGGAAGAAAGAGGAGGTAATCCGTTGCACGTGGCGAGTGTAATTTCGCGGATAGCGGCGATAGATCGAAGAGAGGGGGGGGCCTCGAACCTCCTCCCTGTTTGCACCGTATCCCCGAGCCGTGTATATTTTTCTTCCTACCTCCAACAAGCACGCGAATGTACACACCGTTTCGTTTGCACACGTCGCGACACGTTACGGATGAATTAGAATACGGGAGAGAGAGAGAGAGAGAGAGAGGAAACTGTACGCGCGGCGCGCTGCGAAATAAGTCGAGCGCTTGGCACGGTTTCACGCGCGACGCGATTTTCAGGATAACGAGATCTTGGCCGACGCGGTATGCAATCTCCCGGTTGTTTACATGTTGCTAGAAATAATCGAGAGAGGCGCGTCGAGAATAATAGAGCGGAGCCGTTTTTGGATGAATCGCGTTAACGCGGCGATTCCGCGAGTTCTATTTTTACCCAGCCGTTATTCAAATAGAGCACGGTCAGCGGGAAGGGGAGGAGGGGAGAAAAAGAAAGGGGAGATTGCTACGAAATTTGTACATGGAAGGAAAAGTATTAATTTAATATTCATATTCTTGCATGTATAAGCAAGAATATATAATTTTATATGAAGAAACTTGCTCACGTGCTCACACACACGAAGACATTTCATATAGTTTCATGAAAAACATCGTACTCGTTATTCGAGAATAATATGCTTAAACTGAGAGGAAAAATATTGGATGGAAGGAACGATATCTTTAAACTAAGAATTATATCAGTTTGAAAATATCGTATTTTCTATCCAATGCTTTTTCCTCTTAATTCGTCGAAATTACTCTTGAATAACAAGATTGTGATATTTTTAATGGATATAAAATTCTTCCATGTAAACAAGTTTTATTTTCATATAAGATACTATATTCTTGCTTTCATTTGAGAATACGAGTCTTGAAATGATACTAATTTTTTTCGTGTACATATTTATTTTAATCTTTTATGTTTATATTGCATTATATTATATTTTAATTTTCAATATGTACTTTCGTGAGGAAAATTTATCTTGTGGCATAAATTTATCTTATTACCAAAAAAAAAAGGATAACACAATTTCCTGAGAAAAAGTGTTGCAATCTTCTTTCCACCGACTGTGCGTGCGAGTCGCGTGCTGAGGTTGTAGTGTTTTTTTCCACGTTTCTCGCTCTTCTCATGCTTATTTCTTTAGTGGCCGAGTTCCCTTGTTATGCTCAGTTCCTTTATTCGTACGGACGGTTTTGTCGGGAGCACGTAAAATTTCCAGCGCGCGTTTTCGACGACTCAACTTTCGCGTCACGCTCGTACGCGTGATACCGATCACGGATTGCTTCACGCTCGATTTCATTGCGACTCGATTAAAATGCCGTGAATTATATAGAAAGCTCATGCCGCAATTTCACTCGTATCGTCTCATGTTCGTCTCGATAATTCTCTGACTTTGTGAAAAAATCTCTGCCTTTTTGCCACGATCGGGCGGACGGATTTGCGATATCGGAAGCTGATACGTCGAAATTGGGACAGCTCTCGCGCTGATTTTTTATTTAGAAAGACGTGCCCCAAATCTCCGATATGACAGTCCGTCGCATTCCGTCGTTCGTCGAATCGAGTGATTTTCGTCTACTTATTTTTTTCACTCTTTCGGCCCGCCGCCGTCGCCTCGCGATTATCCCCCCAGTGGCCGTGGAGGGCATTAATATTTCCAGCACTAAATTCTATACTGTATTGGAACGCTTGAATGCATGTGAGGAAACGGGCGAAATGAGACAGAGAAGAGAAATACTATCTGTTCATTTAAAGTATCGCATTCGTAACCTCCGTGATTGAAAGAATTATAATATTATTAGGAAGGGGCGGGATAAACAGAAAAATGTCAAAGATCCGTGCCGTGAAAAATTGTGAAAACCATGAACAGTTTGATTCGAACATCATCTTTCACTAGTAAGTAAATTCGGGTGTCTGTAGAGAAGATCCCAGGAAATCGTTGGCCAATCAGAAATCATTCGGCACAGAAGGAAATGGTATTTGCGCTATCTATCCTTTACTACCCCGGCTTCTTCAGCATGGTTCAACATGGTACTTAGCATTCCAGTATAGTGTAGAATTCGATAGATTTCCGAATATACCAATCGCGCCGTCAACAAGGATCTCGAGCATCTCCCGACAGTCCGCTTTTCGTTCCGCGACCGGCTGTCGTACGACGAGCCTGTGAAACTTGCTGGCGCGAAGTGGCGCGCGTACCGTTAACTCGCATACCTGCGTTACTCTTGTGCAAGCATTGCGAAACTTCACCTCACCGTGGAATCCAGTGAGAACC